TGACACAAATGAAACAATTAAAGAATGAGTATTTGCTTTAGAAGTTCAGAGAAGAGGCTGGGTGTGGTTGCTCTTGTTTCTAGTCCCAGACGCTATGGAAGGTCAAGGCAGGTGGATTACTTGAGCTCAGGAGTTCAAGACCAGTCCGGGCAAAATGACAAAACACTACAAAATATACAAAAAAAAAAAAAAATTGTCCAGGCATGGTGGTGCACACCTGTGGTCCCAACTACTTGAGAGGCTGAGACGAGAGGATCACTTGAGCCCAAGAGGTCAAGGCTGCAGTGAGTTGAGATCATGCCACTGCACTTCAGTCTGGGCAACAGAGTGAGATCGTATCTCAAAAAAAAAAAAAAGTTTACAGAAGAGAGCAAGTAGAATATTCAAGAAAGTATTTAATTAAAGAAAAGAGACTGAATACGGGACTTCGAAAGTGAGACAGGGCAAACAAGAAAAAGGACAAGTTAAGAAGACCAACGTGATAGGTGTGTTTCAGGGCAGCTGGATTTGACGCATCTTTCCAAACACATTCTCACATAGCTATCCACTTCTCTCTCTTTCCTTTGCTACCACTGTGGCCCAGTTTGCCCTTAGCTCTCATCCAGACTGTTAAAATAGCTGTGATTTTCTCCATACCTTGCCCCATGTGCAATTCACGGAGCTGACACAATAATCTTTCCACTGAAAACAAGCTCATATGAGCCCTCTGCTCAATTCCCTTCAGATGGGTTCCCAGTGCACTGAAAATAAAATCCAAACTTCTTGCCATGAACTGCAAGGCCCTAAATGACCTGGATCACACTTCCTGCTTCATCTTTTCTTTGACTATTCTATCCCTTGCTCACCGTATTAGTCTGATTTCATGCTGCTGATACACATGTACTATACGATTATTTGGCAAGGATATGAAGAGACTAGAACTCTCATACACATGTGGTGATTATATTAAATGTTACAACTACTTACAAACTCTTTGAAAATTTTTAAAAATGTTAAATATACATATCTATCATATCACCAAGTCATTCCACTCCTAGGTTTTACCCAAGAAAAATGAATGTGTCTGTCTGTTCAAAGGCTTGTACATGAATGTTCTTAACAGCATTATTTGTAATAGCTATAAGCTGAAAAATGTCTATTAACAGATACATGCATAAACAGTGGTACATTTACATCATGGAATAGTACTTGGCAATAAAGAGGAATATGTACAGATAAATACATTAACAAGGATGAATCCCAAAATAATTATGCTAAGTGAAAGAAGTCAGAAGCCAGATTAAAAGACACAGATAATTTAATTTTTAAAAAATATATATGAATTGCAAACTAATTTATAGTGACAGAAAAAGATCAGTGGTTGCCTAAAGATGAGGAAGGGCAAATGAGAAGGCGAAGGGGGAAGGATGACAAAGGGACTTGACAGAACTTAAGAAGCAATGGATATGTGCATTATCTTGAGTGTGGTAATGATTTCATGTGTGCATATACATTCAAAACGTTATCAAATTGCACACTTCAAATACATGCAGCCTATTGCATCTCAATTATATCTCAATAAAGCTCTTTTAGAAAACAAGAGAAAAGAAAGTAACAGTAACCAAGTATAGTATTGGCATAAGGATAGATTAGTCCAGGCGTCCCCAGACTTTTTACACACGGGCCAGTTCACTGTCCCTCAGACCGTTGGAGGGCCGCCACATACTGTGCTCCTCTCACTGACCACCAATGAAAGAGGTGCCCCTTCCTGAAGTGCGGCGGGGGGGCTGGATAAATGGCCTCAGGGGGCCGCCAGCCCGCGGGCTGTAGTTTGGGGATGCCTGGATTAGTGGAACAAAACTGAGCATCAGAAAATAGACCTACATTTGTATGGTCAATTGATTTTCAACAAAGTTGTCAAAAAAATTATTGAGGAAAAGATCATCTTCTCAATAAATTGTACTGTAATAACTGAATATCCAAATAGGAAATAATTACCTCAAGACACCCTACTGAAAATTGATTCAAATTGAATTATTGACTTTCTATAAGATCAAAACCCATAAAAGTGATTTTTTTTTTCAAAAATCACAGGGAAAAATACTTGTGATTTAGGCTTGGAAAGTATTCTTTACATGGGACACAAAAAGCACAAATCAATAAAGATAAAAATTGATAGACTGAAATTTAATAAAATTTTAAACTTTTGCTTCATTGAGAAAATGAAAAGGAAAGCCCCATATTATAAGAAAATATTTGTAGAACATGTAACTGACAGATGACATGCATTCAGAATATATGAAGAGCTTTGACAAATCAATAATAGGAAAAGAAACTACCCAATTAAATACATATATAGAGAGAGGATTTCCAGTATTAGCCAATATGAGAAGAGCTCTATTTCTCCCATGTACTCCCTCTTACATCAAAAAAAAGCCCAAACCTAATACAACGAACGAACACGGGGAGATTCCAAAAGGCAGAAAGAAAACAGTCTCTTCCTAGGGTCCTTGGAACTTGAGAAACAGTAACGAGTGTCCTGGTTTTTGTTGCTGTTGTTGTTGTTTTCCTATCAGTGGGGGCTATGGAGAAGCCTAGAACTGGAACCAGGCACAGATGGGTGAGAGCCGAGGTGTGGCAAGGACTGGGTGGCTCCAAAAAAGTCCCTCTCCCCTTACCCAAAGTACTAGGAAAAAGGTTGCTGAAAATAGGAGAAAATATTTTTTACACTATCTGTCCTTCTCCAGCCAAACACTATTAAAATCCCTGCCTCCCTGCATATTGCTGGCCCCATAGTTTCAGCAGACATGAGCAACAGTCTAATATTTTACATAAACACTCGGAGAATCAGACAGGAACACTGATTTCCAAGTGGAGTGGTGTTGCTGAGGCCAAGGGAGGAACTTGTCTTTCATCTCCTGGCCACAGAAACTGGCAGTGCTCTAATTCACCCTCCTGGGTGGTGTCAGCTGGGTACAGAAGGGAGCTGAAGCTTTACTCCCAACCAGCAAGTATGCAGCAGGGCTAGTCTCCAATTAATTAACAATAATATTCCCTGTCCTCAATTACTCTTTCTCCCCTGCTTACTTTCGTGTACTCTCCTGTGTTACGGAGGAAATCATCTCAGTTAAAATTCAACTCTCCACATGCTCCATTATTGTGCTCACACAGCAACAAATCTGGAGAAAAATGCAAAATTATATTATGTTCACATTAAGTTCATGACCATCAAATTGGTTCCTTATCATTGCCTAGCAAGTATATGATGTCCAGTCAATTTCTCTCCTTCTTGAGATTACTATTTCTAAATATTTTCTTTCTTCTCAAATGCTCAATATTCCCTTTCCATAGCCAGTTTTGCCTGTCGGTTTTACTTCTCCTTTTACTTAGAAGAAATAGAGGGAAATAAGGGAGGGAATGAGAGAGGAAAGGAGGGAGGGAGGGAGGCAAGAAAGGAAGGAAGGAAGGAGGGAAGGAAGGAAAGAATGAAGGAGGGAGGGAGGGAGGAAAGAGCAGGAAGGAAGGAAGGCGGAAGGCAGGAAGGAAGGAAGGGAGAGAGAAGAATGAATGAACTAACGGAAAAGGAAGGAAGGAAATGGAGGGAGGGAGGGAAGAGAAAGAGGGAGGGAAGGAAGGAAGGAAGAAAGGAAGGGAGGGAGGGAGGGAGGGAATGAGGGAGGGAGAAAAGAAGGGAAGGGAAGGGCAATTAGAAGATGTTCAGCCTGGATAACACACTGAGACCTCATCTCTACTAAACACAAAAAATAGAAATAAAAATTACCAGGTATGGTAGTACACGCTTTTAGTCCCAGCTATTTGAGAGAAGCGAAGGCAGTAGGATTGCTTAGCCTGGGAGGTCAAAGCTGCACTGAGCCTTGACTGCACCACTGCATTCCAGCCAGGGTGACAGTAAGACTTGTCACAGAAAAAAAGAAAGAAAGAAAGAAAGAAAACAAAAGAAAAAAGAAAAAGGTGTGGACATGCCTCAGGATGACCCCCAGTGGATCACATTCTTGCTTAGACCCATTGCCCTGAGTGTGGGCACAACCAGTAACCTGATTCTAACCAATAGCACATGGGAAAGATGATGGGATATCACTCCCCTAATTATATTGTATGGCAAAGGTGAAGGGATTTTGCAGAGATAATTGAGGTTTCTCATTCCTCATTCGTTCATGTGAGTCAACCAGAGCCCAGATTATACTGGGTGAGTCTCATCTAATCACATAAATCACTGAAACACGTAAAAAAACAATATGTATACAAGTGATATACTTAAATGAGTAAATTTTATTGTATTTAATTTTACCTCAATTTTCTAAGGAAAAGTTAAAATCTCTTCTTTGCAATGGGATTCTAAAGGCAAGACTTAGACCCAGTGAAAGGCTGAAAGGTGGAGATGATTTTCTCAGAACTTGCCAACCAGACTGCTGGAGTAGGTATCTTTCTGTGATACTAATTATTGGAAGAAAATTTGAAAGTGTTATTCAAATGTCAGTCACTTCTTCATTTACATGCCTTTTCTAGGTATAACCCAGATATTCCTGAGTATTTGATGTTTTCCTATATTTTGAAAACTGGAATCTACAGGGAAGAATTAACTTTTTAACTTTTCCAGTTTCATTAGGGTTATTTGAATGATTAAATGTTGTCTATAGCTTCTTTAGCACCACAATGCTACAGAGACTGCATGGCCTTCAAAGCCTAAAATATTTACTGTCTACCCTAAAATATTTACTGTCTATCCAGCCCTTAATAGAAAAACTTTGTCAATCTTGATTTAGATGGAAGAGAATCTTTCTAAATCTATTCTAAAAAAGGATAAAACAAAGATAATGAAACTGGTAAATCAGGGCTGATATGTATACACTTGTTAAAAAATGTAATAATATTTGTGAAACTGGGTTCAGTTAACATGCCATCATTTCATAGTTTATATTTGAATAGAAGCATTAAAATTAGCAATTGTTATCTAAAGCAACTCAATGGTATTTTTATTTTTGTCTGTCTGTATACCCCAGGTTTTATTGGCTCATGAACCTAAACGCAACTATTGTGTTTCTGGGAATATCTTACATCCAGCAATCACTAGCGTGGGCCCTTGTTTTACTTATTCCTTTTATGTCTACACTTATGGCTCTGACAATTCTTCATATGATGTACTATAACCTGATTTATCAGTCAGAAAAACGTAAGTAAATTATACTTTACATTCATTCCTGGATTTATATTGTTTTCTTGACAGATCTCCTTTCTCTTTGATTTTTTGTAACTTCTCTTTCAACTCAGAATTTGAAGATTGAGTCAGTTATTACCCTTGATAGGAATGATTTAAAAGAATATTTTTAAGTAAAAATTAAGATTACTTGGATTCTAATGATAGGGAGACCCTGCTGTAAAATAATAATAATAGTAATAATAAATCACTTCACAGCCATCACTCAAGATGGACGGTATTACAAGATCAGAAAAGTACCGCATTGATGATGATGTGGAGAAATTGTGGGTAACCCTTGTGCACGGTTGGTGGAAATGTAAAATGGTAGAGCCATTATGGGAAGCAGTAAAAAGAGTTCTCAAAAAATTTAAAGCATTTTTTATCATGTAAACACTTTGATATGGTAGGTAAGGATTTGTTAATTTTGTCAGTCTTTCCAAAAACCAACATGCTTTCATTCAGTTTTTTTTCTGTTGTTTTTGATTCTCTATTTTATCTCTGCTCTAATCTTCATTATTTCCTTCCTTCTCCTGACTTCGTGTTCTTTGTTCTTTCTCTAGTTTCTTGAGGTGCAAGGTTAAGTTATTGATTTGAGATCATTCTTTTTTTTAATGTAAACATTTGCCATTATAAACTTTCTTATGGAAATTGAAACAAATAAAAACAAAACATGCTATGCCAAAACTTATGAGCATCTCAAATTCTGATTTGTATTCTTTTTAGTTGTTTGAGCATCTCATAAGTTTTAGTATAGTGTGTTTTTGTTTTGTGTCCAAATAGTGTCTAAATTCCCTTGTGATTGCTTCTTTGTCCAATGTTAAGAGTAGGTTGTTTCATTGTTTCTTTTTGGTCAATTTTCAGAGCATTTTTATATTTTGGGAGTATTAACACTTTGTCTATGATAAAAGTTGCAAATGTTATTCCCTATTTATCATATATCTTTTTAACTTCTTTCTTGTGTTATTTTCCATTCACAAGTTTTTCCATGTGTTTGTTTTGTCTTACATTGGGGTTTATGTTTGTAATAAAATTCATCAATATTCTCCCTATTGCTTCTAAATTTTGAGTCATGGTAAAAAATTTTACTTGTTTTCAGGTTATAAAAGAATAATTCATCCACATTTTCTTTTAGTATTCACTTTACTGCCTCTTTTCTCACTTCTCTGACCCCCTTATAAATTATATTAGAATAGCTTTTAAGAATAAACCCAATTATATCTTTTTTCCATATTATTATCAACTTATCCTAACCTTACTTATTAAAAAGTCCATGTTTTTCACACTGGTTTTAAATGTCAGCCTTATTCCATACTTTCGCCTGTACTTCTGGAGTTCCTGTTCTGTTCTATTGTTAAGTCTGCCTGTTCATCTTGTTTAACTCAGACCTTAATTTGTAACATATTTTTCTTTTTCTGCTATTTCTCTATACAACTACTACCAATAGCAATGCAATGAGTTACATTTTTAAAAATTAAGCACATTCACCGATGTTACTTTATTTTTATCACATGTCTAGAAGATAGGTGGGAAGGGCACCTTTTGTAGACTAGACTCTGTAGGCTTTGCCTCTGCTCCTGTAGCACTTTGAACACATCTTTACCATTTTCTTCACCGCATATGTTGAAATTATCTATTTATAAACACAATTAGAAATTCCTCTGTCTTATAAATACTTGATTATGTTAAGTGTTCAATCAGTGTTTGTTACTGTTAAACTGAGCACAGAAGCTGAGACATAATATAATTAAATGACTTGCTCAAGATGTCACAGAAAAGAGCTGAAGTGGAACCAGAACCCAGGCCTTATTTTGCTTAGGCTGGAGCTCTTTCTATTATACCACATACGGAGGCAGTGAAGCACTGAAAATATTAGACACAGAAGCCTCTGCTTTGTTTCTGAGAGCTCTGTGGCCTGTGGACCACACTTAGCAGTACATGTTCTCCTGCTAGTCTATAGAATGGGGTCAATATCCAAAAAGTCCCAAATAGCAAAACAAGAAGAAAATGTAAAGTATAGGATTTTTCTTGAAAACCACTTTGGCACTTTCTCAAGTGTCTAATATCAAATAATTTTGCATTTTGTGAATATACACACACAAATGCACACATATGTATACATACATTCATATATACTATTTTTGGATTCAAATTTTCTAAATAGTTGTTCAGCATCCATTCATTTGCTTCTTAATATACTGTTTGAATATATCTGAATAGAGACATACCATTCTCTCTCCTTCAACTAATACAGATCTATGTAATCTGTTTACTGCCAGCCTATTATAGTCCAAATGTTACATAATTTAACATGTGATAAGGTAACCTGTTTTTGGATGTTAACCAGATAAAACTTTATTAGCTACAAGAACAATTAGCATAGAAAATGTTCTCCAGCGGTGGACTTTAAACAAAGCTCTATAAAACAAATATTTGAGGCTTGTGCATTGTTTTGCTTGTATTGTTTACTATTTCTAAATTATAAGATCACCCAACTATGATGAAGTAAAACTCTGTCTTTTCTCTGGTGAAGTATATAATCCCTATTTTGGCTTCTTTCTATCTGATGACTAAATTGGAAATTCCTCAAAGCTGTAATTCAAAGCCATAGGTGACCTTAAAGAAATGATTTTTTATATGCTACCTTTTATTTTAAGGTAACTTTTCAAATGTGGACCATGCATTCCATTATGTTTAGCTGTCAAGCACGGCTTTCATTTGCATTTCTTCCCACTGCTATAATTTTGAGAACTGGCAGGTGACCAAAGAAGAAAAAATGTGCATCTACCATCTAGAGTGCAATGTAGGCTTTTTTTTATTATAATTAAGTAGCATAGATATTCATGATTAGATCAAGGTCAGAAGAGTAGAACATTAGAGCCAAGGACTTAAAGGTACAAAGAATAGGAAAATTGCTATCTAAAAGTTTTTTAAAATAGTAATAACTACAATCGTTAAGTTTTGCAATAAAACACTTAAAATAGCTCATCTGTTTTATTTTAAAATCTGCACGCCTGGTGTGTTTGCCGTGCACATTTAAACCAGAGCCTGAAGTCTCAGTTGAATTTTTCATTTCAGTATTTTCTTCAGTTTCTCATTTCTGCTCCTGGTACAGAAAATCAATTTGAAAACTATAATGATAATGGACTTTTTTAAAGCCTGAGCCTACATGACATCCAAAATTATTTGCATAGACGTCGTGAGTTTTCTATTAAGGCTAATGGATTAATCCAAGGAGGTAGTGTGTTTAGATGTAAATGTTTTCAACAGGGTATCCCTCCTAATATTCAGTAGTAACTACAGTTTCATGGGACAACTGCCACTCCCTTTGTGTAGATAGATTATTGTATACTTCCTTTTCTTGGACTGTCTTGCTGACTTACTGACTCTCTCTCAGCCTAGTTGATCAACTTAGGTTTATTACGTCACCACTTTCCTTCCCTCTTGCAACTCATCTACACATCACCTAGCTTTCCCCCGTCTCCTTAACCAGCTTTTCTCCTGTGATCATTTCCTAACTGATGTGCAGCCCTAGGATTCATTCCAGTGACCCTGAATCTTCTCTTCCTGCCCTCTTTTCTCAACTAATCTCTAGACCCATGGCTTTCAATGCCATCTAATACACCAAATACTCAATATCATATTGACCCCTCTCCTTACCTTATAAAGCATATATGCTGCTTCCTCTTTGACATGTTGACTTGATTATCTAATAATTTCTCAAACTTAATTTGACTAAAACTCAACTCCTGATTCAGCCAACTACAAACTGGCTTCCTTTTTTCTCCCCCTCAATAAAGTCATCAACACCCAGTTGTGTAAGGGAGAAGAAGGTAGACATCTTCAAATCTTCCCACTTTTTCACCCCTTTCCCACATCAGAAAATTTTACTGATTGTTCAAAAACCATCCCATTCTCTTCATTTTTCTTCATGGCTACTACTCTACTAGTCCAGGTCACCACTATCTCTTGCCTGTTCTCCAGGTCCCTAAAATTCATTATCTGCTCAGCTACCAGGGTTCCAGAGTAACTTTTTAGAAATATACATCATAAGATCTCTCTAGTCTATTTAAAACTTCTTAATGGTTTTCTACAATATTGTAGATAAACTGCAAGTTCCTTACTTTGACCTATATGATCTGACCCCTGACAACCTCGTAGACCTCATCTCCGCCCAGTCTTCCCTCTAACTGAGTTACTGCCTTATTGGCCTTTATGATTTCTGAACCTTTCCTGGTTAATTTCTACTTCATGATAAGCCCGGCGTATGTTTCCTAGGTCTCTTTGCCAATTTCTCGTCATTTAATCCTCAAGTCAAATGTCAACTCTCTAGGAGGTCTTCCGCATACCCTACCCTACACTGAGTCCCTGTCCTATCAGCCCATTGTGTTTTCATCATAGACCTTGCCTAATATTTTCCTGCTTTTAGTGTCCCCACAACCACAAATAAGAATCAGGCGTTTGTAGGTACTGTTCACTACTATATTTCTAGGGCCCAAAACAGTTTCCTGGCTCCTAGTAGATTCTCAGTAAATACGTTGAATGAATCAATGATTGTAATGACATTTCTTTGGCATCCATTATATGTGCTTGCTGTGTTAGCTAGAGTTTTAGACCTCATTCATATGTTATCATTTCTTGTTTCTTGAGCATTTTGTTTTTGTTGCTTCATATCATTGTATCTGATACAATTTTATTTGTTTAAACAAGTTCATCTTTCAAATTACATATTCAGCAGAAGCCAGTGCTACACAAAGCCTGGTTCATGGAGCAGTGCTGGTCTCTGAACTGTTTATTGCCAGTATACAACAAAATAAAGATAAAACATATAGAAACATTATAGACACTATACAAAACATATAGAAAGTTACATCTTATGTCTGTTGAATCTAATAATGAAAATATCAGGGTTTATATTTTGTATGTCTTTATTTTATGTTTAGATATTTCATTTTTATTGGATTTCACACATGAGTTGAACATGATAGTAAAGAAATTTTTTAAAAAACTGATTTTTAACACAGTTTGAGAAGCACTAATCTGAACTCTCTTTAGAAATAAAATAATGGCAATGTTTGTTTAATAAGAGTGCATGTATCAATTTGTCATGTATTAGAAGCAGATTCAAATTTATCTTGCCACAAATAGTGATTGTTTATACAAAAAAGTGATAGTGAGTTCAAAATACATTGTATTTCATACAAACTCCTGAATTTTAAAAGTTGGGGGGAAACTGGGGAAAATATCTTTGGAAATAATCTTTCATCCTGCAAGTACTTATAATTTAAAAATAAAACTTATCTGAAAGCATAAAGTAATTTGGATCAGTGCTCAAATAACCCTACTATCTACACACCAAGGCTCTGCAAGACTTTGGCAGAGAACACGTTGATGAGTAACAGAGACAAGATTGTAAAAAATGTCAGGAAGTTAAAGTTAAGTCACCCAGCCCAGGCCTATTCAAATTCAGTTCATCAGCACATTCTCAGTTCTCATCTTACTTAAACCTTAAGTAAACTAATTGAAATAGCTAGGAAAGTCTCATAATAGAGCAGTTCGTTCTCTAATAATAAAGAGCAGTCCCTATTACATCTTTCCTAAAAGAAACAAATCTTGGCCTCTCACAGGTGCATCTGTCTTCTTGGCCTTACCAGTCCCTGGGCTTTCATCTACATCAGGCAATAGTGACCAAGAAGAGGCAAAAGTGACTGTAGCTATAAGTCTGTCTCCTGTCAGCAAGTATCCCGACTTACTCCCAGATGACCTAAACACACTTCACAAAGGCCACCAAAGAGCCACAGCTGTAATCATTCTTGGTCACTACCAGTTTGGGCTGGATTTGATTCAGTGACTTAGAGGTGAAAGGCTCCATATTCAATTACCAGGCCCCCAGCTTCCTCAATTAATCAAAGGCTGACATAATGGGTCTATTACAACTCTTGAAGAGAAGACCAGACCAAATCAATATAACCACTTTATAGCCATAAAGATATATTCATACATATTCTTTATTTAAATATAAAAACCAAGACTCCATGGCACATAAATGAATTTCACTAGAATGCATTTTATCTAGAATTTTATTATAGGAAACTTGAACACAATCAAAATGACTTTCAAACTACTGTATACTTTGAGTGTCTATAGCAGCCTTCTTTGGAGAAACTCAAACATTTTCACATTTATGATGCCATTTATCTGGCTACAATAGTTTGGTGTCTACATAATTTTTTGGAGGGAGGGGGGATTTGCCTGGTCAGAGGGAGTGCTATGAAAAATTGTAACCATCACGATGGGACAGCTGAACTGCTATCTAAGTGGGGGTCTCTCATCTGTCATTGTATCGGGAAATCCTAATGGAGTCAAAGAAAAGGTAAAAACTGAAAGATCATAAAAGAAGCAACAATGACGTTGCAAATCACTAGCAGCAAGTGATTGCTGCCATCTGAAGCAATGAAGTGCTTCTGATGGTACAGCAACAGCCATCTAAACTTACCAGAAACTACTGGAAAAGTCAAAAACCAATTAATCTAATCTGAACTCTTAATGACACTATCAGCATGTATAAAGTCATTTAGAGAGTTCAAAGTTTAACCTTATTTCTGAAATCCAAGGATAAAGTCAAAGCAGGGATTACATTTCCCTTCATCTCCATGTCAAAATAAGAAACCACCCTCTACCTGCCAAGTAAAATGGGGATTATTTATATAATAATTTATATGAAAAAATAGTACTAGTTCTTTGTGTTAAGGATGTTAAAGAAAGTTCAGTTTATTGTAGTTATTAATGCATTAAAGTTAGACACTTTTAAGAGATTCTGAAGTCCTTCACTTTGGTATATTATTTTGTCACCTTTCTTACCCTTTTAATATGTTTCACTGATCTTACCTTTTTCACTTTTTACATCAACTGCTAGGTGCTGGTAGGTGCCACCCTGGGCTCGTCATCAGGGTGCCAGAATCCCTGTCAGAGGTGTGGGATTTGAATCCAACCCCTCGTGTGCTAAAACTTTCTCACTTCACTTCCATGCATTCTTGAGTTATCTTTCTGATTATCATCTTGAAAAACTGGAGAACAATTCCTATACTAATACATAATATCTCCAATTACTTGCAGGTGGTTCTCTCCTGACAAGCTCTGGGGTGTTGGCTAGTGCACTGAAAACATGCCAGCTGCAATACTGCCATCTTGACAGAGATGTGACAAGCCAGTTAGACCATGCCAAAGAAAAAAATGGTGGCTGCTACAGCCAACTCCATGTAGAAGACACAAGATTTTTCCTCACCCTTCTCCCTCTCTTCATTTTTCAGCTCCTATACAGAATGTGCATTATGCAGGTAAGGACCCGCGATGAGGACCACCCCAACCACAGGAAAGTGATTGCATGTCAACTGTACAAGTCAAAGCCAATTTTCTGCCCAACAAGCACTTTCCATGTACGTCGGCAGGGAGTTATCCCACAGAAGCTTCTCATCACTACAGGCTCTGATCTCCAGAACTAAGCAGGGTCAGGCAGAGGCATACCTGAGGAGACCCTGGGATGTGTTTCTTTTGTGGACCTATAAATGTCTGTCAGTAGGTGCAGACAGTACTTTAGAGTGCATAGTAAGGCAAAAGAGCAGTGCAGGAATGTATCAGATTTGTAGGCAATTACCAAACTTCCCTTTAGTCAAAGGTTTTGCCTTCCTCTCTCATTAAAGCTTTAGAAAGTGGTACTTACAAGTAGCTAAACTGATGGATTTGAGTACCGCCTCCACTGTACTCTTAAATGTAAGTACTAATGAGCAAGTGATTCTCTCCCCACCTACTCTATTAGTTCCTTGGGGAATTAGTTCCTGTGCTGCGAGGAAATCAAGGGAAAACACTGAATCTAAAGTATCTTTTTTAGATGTACGTGATTTTAAATTTTTTAAAATGTGGTTAAAGGCTAACTTATTTATAGAGAAAAATAAATGATTACAAAAGTCTTTGAACAAATCTGGGACTTTGTTCATTGCTAACCCCCAACTTGGAACTTAGAAGGCTAAGTAAGGAGTTACATTTAGAAATCACAGAATAATAGAGTTGCAACAAAAGTTAGAGATTAACTTCATCAGCTACTTTATTTGTTAAAGAGGAAACTTAGGTTCAGAAAAATTAAGTGAGTTTCTTTTGGTAGAGGTAAAATGCCATAGGTCACAGTTAACAGTAGTGCAAGGTAAAGCGGAATCTATCCTCTGTCTCTCAGTACAGTGCCTGCCCCTCTAAATCAGGGGTTAGCAATCCACTATCTGCAGGCCAAATCCAGTCCACTACTTATTTTTGTACATCCTGTAAGCTAAGAAGATTTTTACATGTTTATGTGTTTGAAAAAAAAAATCAAAAAAGAATAGTATTTTCTGGCACATAAAAATTATATAAAATTTAAATTGTAGTGTTCATAAATAAAGTTTTATCAGAACATAGCCATGCTTTTTGGTTTGTCCTATCTATGTCTGCTTATGCACAAAAATAGCAGAGTTGAGTAATTGCCACAGAACCCCTATGTGGACATATTTACTATCTGGCCCTTTACAGAAAAGTTTGTTGACCTCTAGACCAAATAATGCATGACAGCTAGTCTGATTTAGGAGATTCAAACTCCCTTTTGACTCTGCATTAGCAGTAGGCACAAGAACAGAATGCAGCAGAAATATTGCCCATATATGTAAGCATGATGTAATGAAGCATTTCAGAATGGAGAAACTGCTAAAGAGTACAAAATTACTACATGGTCCATAGCTAACCTCAGAACCTTATGTGTAAGTAGCACAGATTACCAGCTCCTTACCTTCATAATGCAATGAATCCTGACATTTCTTTCCATTAAGCTCAAGCCTCTTTGCACGCGGTCATTTTTTTTTAATTTAACATAAATTACAATACATTTTGATGAACTAATTTTTAAGCATCTCACCAAGTCTAGATGCCCAATTTATTGCAAAGCACAGAAACTAATACTTACTGATCATCTGTTATATGTCATATAGCTTCTAAAAGAAAGCTTCACAGTATGTAATTTAATCTCCTATTACATACTTTGCTACGTTGCTATTACTCTCCTAAATCTGAGGCTCAGAAACTAACTTTCAACTTATTCCCAGTCACCTTGCTAGTGTGTGGCAGAGCAATATCCCAACTCAGGATTCGTGTCAAGGGCCATGCTTTATTACCCTCGATACCACTCTTGCACTGGGTTAAAAATCCCAGATACAAACTACATAGATTCCAAAATTATATACAGTAATGCTGTGTTAGAAACTTCAAAGAAAATGCTTAGATCATACTTCGCCAGGGAGGCAGAGGAATTTCCAATAGGATAGGCTGGGGTTAGATTTTTGCCCCCAGATGAAATAGTCCCCAGTACAAAGGCAATCAAAGTACCAAGAATAAAACATCATAGAATTTCATACATATTTTAAATTTAGTAGCCATTATTGACCTTCAGTTGCAAGACATATCTCTAAAATATGTTGATATTATGGCTGATGAGGTTGCCATTTGACGTTACTGGCCACTGAAAGGTGAAAATGAATCTCTATTGACAGCAATTATTTCTGAATACTCATAGGCTTGGATAAAATAAAAGTATTTAAAATTTTACAGGGGGATGATTTCGGAACTTGAGGCAGAGGCAGAAATGATTTCAAGCTTTCAAGACACTGGAGCCTTTTCTAAGATTAGGCAATATATTAATATTGCTTCACTAAAGATTAATAGTACATTTGCTACATTATTAAGTTAACAGATTTCTGCGTCTGTGATTCATGCCGATAATAACTTTATTCCTATTAACAATAATTCTCATTTGAAATCAGTAACAGAAACTTCCAAGTTGTGCTGGGAGCCTTTCAGTCTTAGAGTTGTTCCGCTGCCAGCACTTTTTGTTAAAACACATCATTCATTTTCCTTTCATGGAGGATCCATACTTAATAATTTTATTGAAGTAGGGCAGAACTAACTAATGTTCATTTAACTCTTGCCATCTGTACCCAGCCAAAATAATCCTTGTTTACTATGCTAACAGTCAAATTAAAGCTCGGAAGATAATTGATCACAAGAACAGGTTTTCTATAGAAATAATTTCAGTGAAAACGTGGTCTTGTCCTGTGTGTTTGGGCAGTTAACATGGCAATAGGATCATTTGATAATTGGACTTGGCAACAGCTGTACTGACACCATAACATTGATTCTCCATATACCCTCTTGAATTGTACAATTGAGTAAAGAGAAGGAGTTAGCAAAGGTTTCAAATGAGAAGATATCGTCAGGATATTTGAATGAGGCTGCTCTCCCAGGATGGTGGTAAAGCAGGGTTCCCAATGCAGTTCCTATACTATAAGAGTTCGGAGGATTCATTCTTCAAGAAGACTTGGTTGACTTTCACTCCATGCCACTCAATAGCTTTGTGTACCACTGGGAATTAAAGAAATACTGTGAGCTACCAACGATCATGAGAAGCTGTAACAAAGCTCATGAACTAGATAAGTAAAGGGACACCCCTTTCGTGTGACATCATCCCTTGGTTCTAATATCACACCAGGTTGCCAAGAGGCTTGGAATACACTAAGAAGCTCCAAATTAGTGTTAGAGTTTTAGTTAGCCTTGGGGTTATTTTTTTAAATGAATAAATTCTAGCAATACATTGAGGGTTTGGCGTGGAGCACGGGTTTTTTTTTTTAAATTATTTTGTATCTTTACTTTATTATGCAAATCTTTTTCATGGCATTTCCTTTATGGAATTCTAGTATCATGTAATTAGTTTGAAGGGAGGGCAAAGACACAGGAAGGTTTTTTTTTTCTCCCCATGTTACTTAGTTCGAATTAGAAACAAAGCCTCTCTAGAAAGCCCCCCAAAGAGCCTATAGCAATTAACATGTGTCCGTTGGGCCCCCTCTTCTTAGAAAAAGTCATTTCTATATTGCCGCCAAACTAGATGCTTTTTAAAGAACCTATTTTAGCCCCAATTTTTTTTTTTTTCCAATCAGGGTAAAAACAGACATCCTTAATATTTTCTACTGGTTTTGTAGTAATATTCATGAAGAAAAGTTATTTTGCTTATCGGCAGAATTTAAGTTATTTGGTTTTTTATGTGTCATCTTAAGCAGAAAATTGGGGCCATCATTACTTTTCATAGAAAAATTAAGAGAGACCAAATGACGATAGAGTCTTCCGTGAAGAATCAGTACTATTGTCAATAAACTAGATAGAGTTCCTACCACCAAAGATGAAGACCCTTTATCAGCTCATAACTGGGACCTTGAAAAACTAGGGAACATCCAGCTCATCCATCACAGAATACATGCAAGCATCTGGTGGCTGATGCTTTTTTCAAAGTTAAAACACTGTCTGAATACATGGCTATTTCTCTCTCAAATAGATTCCTTCAGGATATTATCTGCAAACCATGAATTCCAACCTGAATTTGGATGGATTTCTTCTGCCAATTGCAGTAATGAATGCCATCAGCATCCTACCATTACTAATTTTAGCTCCTTTTCTGGAGTATTTCAGCACCTGCCTGTTTCCCTCTAAGAGAGATGGATCATTTCTGTCGGCAAGCATCAGTAAGTACAACTTAACCATTTCATGTGAATAGTTTGAAACTTTTTAAAACAACACTCTCCTAAGATCCGAACTAGCTATATGCTCCTGAGTAGTGTCAGATTTTGACAAATCGGAAAGAAGGTGAATTTGTGACTTACAACATCCATCTTCCCAAATCTCTAGCCAGACATGTGTCCCATCTTCTTCCCATCCTTTTATATTTATGTTTGCTCAGAAGACACACCTGATATAAAGAGATGGTGAAATTTCCAGCGCTGCCAAATGACCTATCCTTAAAGTCAGGCAGTCCTTATCCCTTATGTCAATGTCAAATATGTTCTTAAAAATAAACATATTTTTAAGTTAGTTAAATGAATCTTAGTTAATGAATTCCAAACGATCATTTTAATTTCTGAATCAGTAACAAAATTGATTAAGGATTAGTATTGTAAATTACGACTTCAATACAATACTTTATCAAGTAGTAAGTGGTATAACAATAATGCTTTTTAATCATATTTTAAAGTGAAACAATTTAGGACATTATTCTCAGAACATAGTCAATATGCCATAAAATAAAATGTATCAGATTGAAATGGAAGAGAAGGATGGAAATCCATTCTGATCATACGCTCCTCTGCCTGTCTTCCCTCGACACCTTCAGGGAACAAGACAAAAGTGCAGGTGCGGAAAAATGTTTCCATCTAAGAATCAGAGAACTCTGCCACTGAACTGCTCCTGATGACTTTGAAAAAGCCACCGAAGCTTTCCCGTTTTACTTTGCCTATTTTTTTTTTCACTGAAGGACATACCTTAGATAAATTTTGGATCCTTTTGTTCTATAAAACTTTTGAAATCACTCAGGATGACTCAGTGCTCAGAACGTAGTCCAGACACATAGCAAAAGCTCTATATAAATATTAGCTGTTTTTATGAGTCATCATGTGCAGGGGACATATTTAATTGTTTGGTGAGCATAAACAGAAAGCAAAGGCAGTTTGAAGTTCTTAAGTAATATGCAATGGTAACCTAACATCTTATCCTCTACTTGAGAAACAATTCTATTGAAATAGTCAAGGTCAGGCATGTAGAAGATTCTCTTCTCTCGCTTAACTGTTCTTATTCTTAAGCTCTTCTTTTGAAATAATCTGGGGAGACTACACAGTCTTCTAGTCATAGATACTTTTTGCTGCTTCTCTGTTTACAGAAGTTACATATCATTGTGTGTGTTTCCTGTTCTTTATCTCCTAGATCACTCAAGATCACATCATGGGGGTGGGTTTGTTTGGTTAGAACTAAAAGTGACTAAACTCACCTTAGTTTATTTTATCATCTTCAATTATAGAGGACTTCAGTACATAACCTTTTGTGATGTGTTTCTTAAGCCAGTAACCCCATTTTTATTTATTGTAATAGGCTTTAGCAAACTATAAATCTTAATAGGTTTTGACAATCCATCCTAAGTCTTAAAAAGTATTTTCTGTCTGCCGATGTAGAAATCCAAAAGCCAGCACATATTTGGTGAATGTCAGGACTAGCATGGGTACTTTGAAGATAAAAAAAAAAAAGACATGGTTTGTATATACCCCTAGCAAGTCCATGATTGAAACATAAGGCATGTAGGACAAAACGGAGGAGAATCGTACTGTGAAATGCCAAAAGTCTTGGCAGTTTTGTAGAGTATCAAGAAATATCCCAATCTGAGCTTCCACATCATGCTCATTACTATAAATTTTAAATTTTTGGATACCTTAGGAAAGTATCCTATACAACGTGGATAAAATAAACTCTTCCTGAGAATAAGAAATCTTAAATTCACTTTGAAGTTCAGCGACTTTCTTTTGGACAATTCTGTACTCCCACATATTTGAAATCACATCTATTCCTAAAGAAGGTATTTTTTTCTGGATTAAGAAAAGTTAGAGTTATTTAGTATATTATTTGATGTTGTTAATGAATTAAACATTCCCCTTCAAAATTGGTAACAAGACCTATTGCACAGGAAAAAGGAAAAACTAGACTCACTTCAAAAGATACTAAACTGTGTTCCACTGGGTACAGAACACTGACTTCAGTTGTTTCTGAACCACACTCCATTCATTCATTTATTTGCATATGTTTTGCTATGGGAATATAAAAGTGTGATGATATGCATCTTTTCAACTAGATATTTCCTTAAGTTTTCCATATTCTGATTATGATTATGAAAGACTAACAAGTTTTTATCAAGACATAAAAGTACCAATCTGGGGTACTTTTTGATACTGATTTACGTAATTGAATTAGTCTCATAGTAAAGTTACCTTTCACTTTGAACTCAAGTGCCTGAAAATATGGGTGAAGTAGATGAGTATATGAATTATGAATGAACTTATATTTATGAGTTCCTAATTTGAACTTAGGTACCTTTATATACATATCACATTTAATTTCATGATAACTATCATTTAATAGATCAGTGATCACAAAGATAGTCATTTGAACAAGTTTTCTAATTTTAAGGGTATAACATTATTATTATTATTATTATTACTGTTACTATTCTGCTTACCAGCTAAATGTAGGTGTTAGATTATAGAAGTTAATGTATTGATGTTAGCTTGATGTTTCCAATTGGCACTAAGAAGTAACTGAAAAACTCCCTTTGTCATCACAATGGACAGTTACTCCTTAGACTCTCACGCTCCCTTCCACATTCAGGAATTCCCCTTCCAGGGATTGTCATGTTTAAGGAGGCAGATGGTAAAGTCAATGGCAATGCCTAATATTTGACATACAAAATCACAGCCCAGACCAAGAGTGAGAGATGGGGAAATCTTACCCATTTGGTCAAACTAGAAATTTACAAAGGAAAAATAAACTTTTTTTTTTGTCTAGTTCATAAACAATGCAATGACAAAAATATTTCTGATTCAAGATACAACATTCCTGAGTTCATCACCTATGGAGGTCAAAAAGTATATCAGGGTACCAACTATTAAAAATAAAATCGCTAAGTCTTCCAAGACTGTGAAAGGCAAAGACTTGATAGGCTCAGAGTGCTTTACCAAGGACTGCATTTTCCTGATAATACACTTGTGTGGATTTATCTATTTAAGTCAATCTTAATTCACTAAATATCCAGAAGTAATGATATTATTGTAATTTATCCTCTGTCATAATTGGGTTTACTTCATTTTATCTTTTTTTTAGTTCAAAAATGTTTACACTATGAGCATTTCCTTTCCTTAGCATTAATTAAAATCCTGCAGTATGTGGTATTCAGTAGTTAGTGCTGACACACGCAAGTATTAATCTGACTAAAATTAGCCTAATTAAGATTGTTATTAGGGCTTACGCAAAGCAGAAGTGTACAACACAGTAGGTAGCAGTTATCTTGGCTTTTAAATAACATTTAAATTGAAATGTAGATGAAATAGATTCGCATAACTACAAGACCTTTCTCTTTAAAATAAAAACATAAAAATTCAAGTTCCAGCTAAAAGCCTTTATGACATAGACACAGCCAGTGTAAGTCCTTTTATACATAATCAGTAACTTCAACTGGTTCTAATAATTGGCCGTCATATAAAGTTTTTTTTTTTTTGGTTGAAACCAAAGTGGTTGCTAAACTTAAAACCAAGTCAGGGATCCCGTTACTTTCATTGCAAGTACAATTATCTCAGGAAAAATTATTTTTTAATAGAGCTTTCAAACTGATACATTTTCCCAAGAAACATCACAGTATGTACCCATCGTAGAATACTTGATAGGAGGAACTGTGTAAACACCAAAAGAAGTAAACCATGAATTGTAAACATCTAGCCTGAATAAGTCATTCATTCAGTTCCACATTTGTTTGATAAAAGCACATTAGTATTCTCAATTCTTAAATGTAACATCAAGTTGGAATTAAATCTAAGGTGAGGTAGATCATCTAATATGTAATCTGAAGCAAATAACATGCCTTGTAGAGATATATTTGTGTTTTTGATCTCTATGTAAATGATTACCTGTTCTACATTCAGAAATTAAACACAAACTGAGGCTGGGTCTTTTGAAATGAATTCCAATGGTCTGTAGAAAAACAAAAGATAAAAAAATTATATATATATTATATATTGTCTGTGTGTGTGTGTGTGTGTGTGAGAGAGAGAGAGAGAGAGAGAACATGTGATGTGTTATGTATATATTATATACAGGAACATGCCATAAATAGGGAGAAACAATAAAAATTTAAAAACATATGCCACACTAAAAGTGAGTGACAAATATCTTCCCCAAAGGCAGCAGATACATATGACAATAAAATTATACCTGCCTTTATGAGAGTGGTTCATGAACACTGATATATTAACACTGAGCAAATTTCCCATTCTGGGAATTTGCCAAAATTATGGATCCAAGGGGAATTTCTCAAGGACTCAATAGAATTTCATACTTATGGTTGTGAACTTACATATCAGAAATTCAAACATCAGCCTACCCATAGAAATCCATAGTTTTCTCCGTGAATAGATTTATATCTAAAGAATCTTTTACTAATACCTAAAGAATCTTAACATGCCCACTTTTTTAGTATTAAGTTCAGCTCATTATGAAATCATAAGTGCAACCCTAATGTTCAAATAAATTCTGAATTTTTTAAATTTCACTGCAGACTAATTTGGAAAATTATTACATGGTTTAATAATAGCATAAATTATAAGAGCTTCAAGACTCCTGTGGACTTGTCTGCAGCCACACAGCCAATATTAAAACACACATTATTTATCTGAATATAATATCTCCTATGCAATCGCTGTGCTTCATCTTGTAAATACAGATAGGCTAGAGGTTTAAAATGTGTACATTCTGATAAACTCCACTCTGCTTTGGGTGCGTTATGATCTCATGCAAGTTAAGAAATTAAAAATGGAGTGGATTAAATTTAGGCTGGAATCAAACTTTGCTTTAAATTTTAAGAAAGTCATTTTTCATTGGCACCAGAGTGCAGTCACAAATAAAAAGCAAACATAGATCCTTCAGATAAAATATGCTT